TATGCAGAGTCCACGATGGTGATCTGATCGACTGTGTATACACTCATCTCCACACGACTTTGTATCATCCAACTAAAGTACGAAACCTTACGTATTAACTACTACTTCTCTCCTCCTCTCTCTCTCTCTCTCTCCCTCTTTTAACATTTTCTGGTTATTGGGTAGTTACGTGATTATCTCTCCCTTTCTCTCTAAACTTGAACTCTTGGAGTGATACTTTGCCGATATGTGACTAATCCATCCTCTAATTTTTTCTCTCTCTTGCATAGTTCATATCAACAACTCCCATTCTCTCCCTTTCTCTCTCTCTCTATACATGAACTCTCTCTCTCTAACCTACATTAACCCCCTTGTCTCTAGGCAGTTAATCTGGCTTTGGTAGGGCCCCAATTGGTAATCCCCCTCTCTCTCTTTACATTGACTGTCATAGGCACAGTGCCTTCCCCTCTTTTCTCTCTCTACCAGTCTTTCTGTACCTCTCTCTAGAAATGAAGTTTTTTTTGTGTGCTACGGGAGCCTACTCTATGAAAGCCCGTTTTTTTTGAGGTTTGTTGATATATGCCTATCTTCTTCTAGTGATCTTATGTGCAAACAAGCTGAGTGGCTACCGAAAGATCCAACTGCTTCGTTTTCGCAACTTACGTACGAACTATGTCTCCTCACTTTCATAACATATTGAGTTTGAGAGGGTATAAAAAAAAAAAAATATTATACCAAAAATTAAATGCAAAGTTTCAATAATTTTCACATACCCCACTTGTGCATCACCTCTCTTATACTTTCTCACTTCCCCATCTCTCTCTCTCTCTCGAAAATGAAAAAAGCCAGCTTGTCTCGTCTTTCGTCGCCCTTTCTCTCTCTAGAACATGGTAAAAGCCTGAAACTCCCTCTTTTTCTCGCTTTTCAGGATCCACCCGAGAGATCACGAGAGCACAGTGATCCATCAAGCTCCTCTTATGAGGACGGTGATCCCTTGAGCTTCCAGGTATGGCGAACAACGGGTGAGTCATGCCCTGAGAACACCATTCCTATACGCAGGACCACAGAAAGTGACCTGCTCAGGGCCAATTCCGTCCAAAAATTTGGAAGGAAACGCGGAAGAACCGCATTCAGAGCAGTTAGGCGTGATTCAACAAGCAGCAGCCACGAGGTATTTTCCTATTTTACCCCTGGATCTTTCCAGGTGGACTGTCAGCCTTTTTGGTCGTGCTCCCAAGTGGTACACCGCGGCTTCCACTAAGGAAAAGTATAAGTCATATGTTCCATACACCGTACAGTTTTGGATTTAACGGTGATCATTGGAAGGGGGCGTACTATTCGTCCAAGGACATGTTCTTGTGCGACCATCTGACAGTTATGACTACATTAGATCTATGATCATGCGGACCACTGTTCACCTCCTCTGAAAATATTAAAATGTTGTTAGGATGCAGTTTCTATAAAGTCTAGGCTCAATGAAAACAATGAACAACCTTTTTTTGAATTCAAAGAGCATTTTGGGTATGGGAAATTTTCATGATGGATCTAAAATCAATTATCAATATCGATTATAAAATTTAAAAATAAAAAATATTGTATATTTTACAAATCCGTGAACATTTATTTTTAGTGTAAAATGGACAATCCATTACAATATATACTATATTTAGGGTTTAAATCCAAATGTATTTTTCGTAACCATTATGATCGAGGCCAGATGATCGATTTGAAAGTTTTCCAATTTTGAAACTATAATTTCTACCGAGTTTTGAGGTGACCCTTATTTTGATAGGGATGCAACCCTATCACAATGTTTTTATTTTTAAAAAATTTTCATGTTCTTAAAAATCAGTTTTTAGGAACCGTCACATTAGTGTTATTATTCCATAAGTTTTTACTGTGAAATGTCAATACCAATCATTTTCAGTCATTTTCGGATAAAGCCAGCAAATTTTAATTGAATAAGAAACTAACGTCCCTAAAAAATACGAAAATACCATTCATATCAAATTCTCAGAGGTATTGTTCGAGCTCAAAAATTGAAAATAAATTATGGGGCAGAATAGGAAATTCGAAAATTTTGGTAGGGGGTCATCATCTCAAAAGTCCCTAAATTTCCAAAACTCCAAGATATATTTCATACAAATTTTTGTGAGATTTTCCAAATTTGAAGGTAGTTCAACTGAAATTTGGAGCGAACTGAAGTCCATGGGATTTTTCATTTGAAGAAAAGAAACAAACCCAATTTATGCTAGAATCCAATGTCCAATCTCAACTGATTTTGTCCAGAGGAGCGCACCCCCCAAATTCAATATTTGAAGAGCAAAGTCTTCCTGGTTTAATGCTTGGTGAGCACTACAAGGATCATGATGAGGTCAGATCAGTCGGTATTAAAATTCGAGGATTTCGTGAATCCCCATTGTAATCAGTAGATGAAGGGTGAGAGAGACGCCTTTATTAATTGTAAGGGCACGCCGCTTTGGGCCGGGTCGGGCCTGCTCTTCCCCCTATAGGTCTGGCTGCCCTAGTTTTTTTTAGGCTCGTTAGGTTCAAAGAATAAATAAAGTAAAAAAAAAAAAAAAAGTAAAAAAGAGGGCCGGCACAGTGTTTGGTCCAGGCTCTTGTTTTTTAGGGCTCATCCTGGACGAGCTCCCCAACAGATTGGTAGCCGTATGTTTGTGCGAGAGAGATGACCTTATTAATGTGGGTGTCTGTGTGATAGATCCTCTCAGTTCTAATGCTCTAGAGTCTAGAGATGCTGGTTATATATTTTCATTGCAATTTGCATTTTTTCCAATAATATTGATAAAAATTATAAAAATTGATTCTTGTACATTCATGCTGTATTCTTTTAACCGATCCCAAATAATTAGGTTGGGTTATATATTTTCATCGTTATTTGCACTTTTTAAATAATATCGATAAAAATTATAAAAATTGATTTTCATATCTCAATACTATATTTTTTTAACCGATCTTAATTGGTTGAGAAAAAATATATTTTTTGAACCGATCTTAATTAGTTGAGAAAAAATTTTGACGATGATGATTAACGCTATGTTATGTGGTGGTGAAATAAATGTATAGCATGCAGTAGGGTATGTATCGGGGCAGCAATACTATGGGGCGAAGGCGAGTCTAAACGTGTGGGCGCCGCAAGTAAATAGCCAGAATGAATTCAGCCTGTCTCAGATGTGGGTCATCTCCGGCTCCTTTAATAATGATCTTAACACCATTGAGGCCGGCTGGCAAGTATGTGTACCATTTCCCCTCTCTCTCTAACCCTTTCTCTCTCTAATAAATGTAGAGATCCATTTTTTCTTCTTTTCAACCTCCGTCTTTTAATGCACTAGCTTAATGATGCCTCTGCCTCTTTGTTTCATCATTTTAATGCACTGGCTTAATGATGCTCCCTTATTATATTTTTCTCTTTTATGTCCATTTTTTTTCACTTTCATTCACTAGGCCTCTAAGTCTCTCTTGCTAATTATTCATTGTATCCTTTTTTTTTTCTTTCCTTTTTTTTTTTTTATTAAAAAAACATGTATTTTTTTAATCAAAATCTTTTCTCAACTAATTGAAGTCAGACAAAAAATTAATAATATTATTTACAAAAATTCAAATTTGATTGGGATATTTATTGAATTGGTTGTTTGTTCAGGTAAGCCCGGAGCTATATGGAGATAATTATCCTCGGTTTTTCACTTATTGGACTGTAAGAATGAGATCTCAAAGAGCTTTATTTCGATTGCTTGCTTGCTTTAAAACTAGAGAGAGATAGTGAGAGAGATTTAAGAAAAATTAAAAGGTGGGGAGAAGGAAAACCACTATTGCAAAAGGGGTTGGTGTCATCGTGGTAGCATCCCCACTATCAAGTCGTTTTCATTCTTATTGATATCACCCCACTATCAACTTCAAAAAAGTAATTCTTAAACTATTTGAAAAAAATAAATAGAGCCCTGTGCTCCACACTAAATTAGGTAAATTAAAAAAAAAAGACCACTGTAGATTATTATTTTTTATACATCTAAAAATGAGGGAAAATGAGGAGTACGCCTACCGACAAAGTTAAAGGGCGTTTCAGGCATCAATAAAATATATGCCCTTTTGAGCAATTTAAAATTCACAAGATTCTATGCTCCCTCGGGAGCATATTATGCACTCACTACCTCTAGTGAATTCATGTATGAGAGTGCTTTTTAGACGTCATGTTTTGGGACGCAACGTCTTCAACACCCCTACCAACTTAGTAAAAGAAAGATGAAACGCTTCGATACACTTGCCAAATCATACTCTCTATTTGCTCTTTCATGGAACGATTGGTATGTGTGACTATTCTTGTGAAAGTATTTTTCACTAACATTTTTTTTATACCAATTGACAGTCATTTAATGTGAAAAAACTCTCATGAAAAACTATGTGAAGGATTTTTTTCACGTAAAAATATTTTATTTTCATGCATACTAAATATGCCCTTAGGCCAAAATAAAATTTTAACAACTAATTTCACAATAAAAAAAACTAATGTCACAATGTTGAAAGGGGACCATAAAAAAATTGACCTGTTTCTTCTACTTGAAAAACTCAAAATCCACTTTTTCAGTTTCAAAATAACTCATTCTTAGAAAAGGGAGGCTGGGGTCATGGTAGTGGCATCCCCAAATCTAGTTACCCCATAGTGGTATCTATTCCTACCATTGATACCCCCAATTATATCATCTTCAAAATGTAATTCCCGAATATATTAAAAAAAAGGGTAGGGGCTGTCTTCTCTATTGAATTACCAAAAAAAAACTCATTATTAAAGTGAATAAAAAAGTTTTAAAAATAAAAAATCCTTTAAACTACTCCTTTGGCCAAAGGAAATAAGTTCGTGCTCCTGCCCGAGTTTCATACGTGCTCCAAACAAAAAATAAGTTGTTCGTGCTCCTGCCGGAGTATACATATGTGCTCCATACAAAAAAGGCTGCAGATACTCTGTGCTCCCTTAAAAGGAAAACTGTGTCAGCACTAAATGGACCAAAACTGCATTTAGAAACTCAAAATTTAAAATTTTTCTCTAAAATACCCATCAGTGCTTATAATTATGATGCCAAAATTTAAGATCCATAAAATAATCTTCAATTCATTTATAGCTTGAGTAAGTGTAGGTTGCACTCCAAGAGGAATTGGTGAGAATCGGGCTTGGGTTAGTTGACGCCAAGCAAGTGCTGCATTGCTAATCTATAGCAGCTTGCTGGCCTTTTCGGTCAGATGAGCTATCGGAACAGTCAAACAATATTGCATTTGATCCTATGCCGTCGATATACCCAGAAAAAAGAAAAAACAGAATGTTGGGTGTTTTCTTAACATCAATCATTCATGTTTATGATGGGTGATAAGGTTGACTATTTAAAACAATCATATTTTAGGTTTTTGCCTTTTATATAACTTAATTATCTCTATTGATACTCAAAATATAATTTTTTTATTCTTTTATCTTCATATGGTACAGACTGATGCATATCAGGCGACTGGGTGCTACAATTTGCTCTGTTCGGGCTTTGTCCAAACAAACAACATGGTTGCCATTGGAGCGGCAATTTCCCCGACTTCGTCATATAATGGTGGCCAATTTGACATAAGTTTATTGGTTTGGAAGGTATTTCAAATTGATTACCTTAATAAATAAACTCTTTTCACAAGTAATTAAATGAAAAACTAACTTTCATAGAAGGTATTTATTTCTTGTGTCACAATTTTTTTGTGCTCACATTAACTCTTATGTGTGCATTATAGAAACTTCCTAACTCTTAAACCATTTAAAAAAATGGGCTGGGGCATGTCTTCCCTACTAAATTACCCAAAAAAAAAAAAAAAGATGAAGCTCATGACTCACCAACTCTTTTTTTGCACTATTTAAGAAATCAGCCGGAGCACGTTTTATATGCGTGGAAATACTTTCACACGAAAGAGCTCTACTTTCACACGAAAGAACTCCCCCATAACTTCCCTGAGTCGAACAGGGTGACTCAAGCTTTGGACTCCTACAAGCCCGAACCCGAGCCCTTGGTTTTAATGAGTGACCATAACCCTATCAATGAATTGACTATAAATTGGTACTTAAAAAAAAAACAAAAAAAAAACAAAAGAGAAACCTATGGGTTGTTGTAGATAGAGAAAATGACTGGTGGATTTCGAATTTTGCAGGACCCCAACCATGGGAATTGGTGGCTAGAGTTTGGTGCAGGGCTCTTAGTGGGGTATTGGCCTTCATTTTTGTTTTCCCACTTGAGGGACCATGCGAGCATGGTACAATGGGGAGGAGAAATAGTAAACTCTCGCCCTAATGGCCTCCACACCACAACCCAAATGGGTAGTGGCCATTTTGCGACTGAAGGCTTTGGAAAATCCAGTTATTTTAGGAATTTACAAGTGGTTGATTGGGATAATAGCTTGATACCATTGCCAAATCTAAAGCTACTGGCGGACCACCCTAATTGCTATGACATTCAAGGTGGGGTCAATAGGGTTTGGGGCAACTACTTTTACTATGGGGGACCAGGAAGAAATGTAAGATGCCCCTAAACTAACTCTCTCTCTCTATCCTATCTCTATCTCTATCTCATCTCTTTCTCTCTCTAAACAAATACAAGTGGTGTATTCTATTCATCTCATCCCTCTTTCTTAACCCTCTTTATTTTCTTTTAAGAGAGGGATCTCTCATACTCCCTGGGTATTGGGTTATTTTATTTTATTTTTTATTTCAAGTATCGGATTTGTCATTTTCTTTTTATTTGGGAGATTGGTTGATTTATACCTCCTTTTGATGATGTGTACATTTGAGAAAGAAAAATAGTGAAAATACGGTGGTTTGTGGCTCTCTCTGTCTCTTGGAACCAGTGATTGACAATCCCTCTCTCTCTCTCTCTCTCTCTCTCTCTCTCTCTACGTACGTACGTACGT